TTTTTTCATTGCAACTATAATTTATAGGTCCGCCAAAAACCCCGAAAAATGCAATGGGGCGACCAACTAAAAATCGTTAGTATTAAAAAAGGGTTAAATAAACAATTGGGTATTATTATTGAAAGTCGTCTGAAGAGAACCAGAGTTTTCCGATCGAAAAATATTGATTTTCCAAAATTCTATTCTACGAAAAGTTTTTTACATGGAAAACTTTGAGCGCTTTGAGCGTCCTCTGAATATTATTTGATTTCAAAATAAAAAAATACTGATATACTTTTTTTCGATATAGAACAATCTAGGGGTGAGAGCAGTACAATTCCGACTTTACTGTTTTTGGACCACCCTTATGTACATATGTTTAAAATTACCTACTTATGAAATAATTTTGGTGGTATGAATATATACATACATACTTGCGCTTTCTAAAAATGGGAATAAAAATTGGATTCGCATAAAATTTTAATTCCAATAACTAACATTTTAGTGAAAACATTTACAATAAAGTTTTCAGTAACTTTTGGCAAATTTGAGCGATTATGTGAAATTATACATGCGTTTGTACCTACATATCCATGTACATATATTATTTTAAACAAAACTAATAGTAAAATTTAAAATGGACTATGGATATGACAATTAAAAAAATTATTACTTGGGGATTTGAACCAAGACAAACGGCGAGACGCCAAAAAGTTCCATCACCTCTAGCATACGCGCCACAGTACATTATTCAAATCGCAATCTCTAAATTACTACATTTATGAAATTCTTCATTCATCCAAAAAGACAAACGCATTAATATGTATGCATTAATAAATGTAAATATGTGCATACATATGTACGATTGATCTGCTTTCGTCTTCCCCTCGCTGTCCTCCATCCACAGACAAATTATTAAATTTCTGCGAATTGCCAAAACGCCATCAATATTCACCCTAGGTTGCGAAATATTTAGGTTTTCGCATAAGTTAACATTTAATAAAGCCATTCTCGTACATTTTATATGGAGAATAATAATATTTCATTTAAAATTCTGCATGTAAACATGTTCTCGACGATACGTGTAACTTTCATGAAAATTAACTAAAAAATTCATGTTATATTAACAGCTGGAATGAAAAAAACTATGTCCGCAAAAATGGGTTAAAATCAGATTTGAGTTGACATATTTACACGCATACATGCAGACATACATACATATGGACATATACAGTGGACTAGCACTAGCTTGGACATAGCATATCTTGTACTTTGATGTGGTTGAATCTTTTTATGGTACTGAAGATTTGCTTACGGGTGAAACAAATTAAAAATCATCCGTGGATATATGTAAATATATTTTTATAAACGCTTTGAAGTTTAGAAATTTTTAATATTCAAAAATAAATAGAATTATTTTTTTGCAATTATACAAATGGTGTTCAAGGCACATTGACCCACCTGTACAAAAATCGTGGC